TAGGATGTTATAGATATAAATAACACTTAATGATCTCACATCATAAAAGTATTAAACAAATTACTTCGAAGCAATATCTACTGAGAAACAAGAAATAAATAGAATATTATTATTAAAAACATAAACTATATATACATATATAATAGTACAAATCTTAAATTTTAACTTAATCTTAACATTAATAAATGTTACTTATAATAATAAATAGCTACTCAAAATACCATTTACTTATACAAATATCTAATTAAATTACCTATGTGATACATCTTGCTCTCTCCGAATTTGTTTTGTACTATGCCCCATAAACAGGGTCCATAAAGAACTGTTTTACTATTGTTATTTAATGGATGTGCAATAAACAAATAAATAAATAAATATTAAAACGACACCGAAGTACCTCCCTAAGCTGAATAACTAAAACCACCAATAATTCAAAATAAAAGCATATTTTTCTATCGACGCCATCTTTGCGGTCGCATGGCGTCAATTGATGACGCGTACTAACTGGTTCGCATTCCGTGTCACATTTTTTCTAATCCAGTTCATATAACATATCAAAATTATATTATGCTAATTGGATAAAAATACGTTAAGACGCTACCACTCTGAGATTAGAAACGGGCTGTAGGAACAAAATGTACAGCCGCCTACAAAAGTATCAGTGTGGCGATATCTCTACAATTTTATATTTCCCATGGTTTAGCCAAACGACAGCACAAACCACTGTTTTATTTGGCGGTAGAACATGTCGTAGCTGTTTTTCTTAATTTATATCTCTGTCGGAGATACAAACGTGTAATAACATTAGCTATCAAGCAACAATAGGTAGACAATTGATAGTATTTAACAACATGTTAAATATTAGCAATTGTCTCATTATTTCGGCCTAATAATTATTGGCATGATTCAAGATCAACTATTATGTAATGTTATATACTTGCCTATTTAACATAATTTTAAATGCTCAACGTTCTTTCTCTTGTATTCTCCCACCTGTGTGGGAACAGCACATTTGTGAAACATGATGCAGTAGATAGGATTTTTACGCCTGCCTCAAACGACCCACGACCCCCAGCACCATGGCCCTGTCGTCGGAAAAAGTGTACGTTTGTAGGTGTCTTTTGTCATTTAGTCAAATTTGTATTTTAACGTTGTATTGTGTATTTACGGAGGGACCAGTTTGGGTTCCGCGTCCATATAGAGATCGTTAAGTCTGCCTTTGAGTGCTTTCGCAGTTCACAACGGGTACACCTCATTCGGTGTATAGTTCTGAGTGGGTAATTATAGGTCCCACAGCGACAAGGTTCACTTATCTCGTTATTATCTCATCGTCGGTGGCAAAAGTAGATAAGGAGATCTCCTCAACTGTTTCCTCAATTATTTGAATGTTTAATTGATTGTTCGAAACCGTCAATTTGGACCTTGCGTTTCAGAAAACCGCTTCACCGACGCACTCGAAGTAATTTCACCTCTGTCGTCTGTGTCCCTTAATTCAATTAATTGCACCAATCGATGCCCGTTTTTGACGGAGCGTAATTTCAGCAGTTATTGTGCGCGCGTGGCGGTATCCCGAAAGCTGTAAACGTCGTACGGTAAAATTTGCTTTAAAGTAACAATAAACTATGAAATTTTTGTAGATAAACGAACACAAACTTTTGGACCTGCGTGTTCTGGTTTCGCGCCCAAACGCTTTTAGCAGCTAAGCTAAGCGGCCGATTACCTAACGGCGCGAAAATCTTTACATCTGTCTACGTTCCTTTATAGCATAAAAATGAAATCGAAAATTATTTTCAATTAAACATTTCGCCCTTGAAAATGTTTCATTTTCACGACATGTTCATGAGCCATTAAATTTTTGGACGGTTAAAAAATATTTAAGATACTGTTTAGGCATTCAGTTAAAATGGCGAACACTTCCTAATTACATTAGCACATTCTACAAAATCTATATTATGTATGTGAATGTGTTTTCAGTTGCGTGCACAAGAGCCACAAAGATTTTAGTTGAAAAGAACATTGTTCGCTCAATGGTAATTGAATTAATTAATAAGTGCGACAGAACTTGTGGAATTTAACGGAGTATAAAGTAAAGTATTATAAAGTAGTACATCACGCACAGACTAATATTCGCAGCGATGTTTTTGTTATCTGAGAAGGTGGTATGCGCGCTGGCAGTTCACCTGATGTTAAGTGTTAACCGCCGCCCATGGACATTTGCAACACCCGTAGCATATACTGTGCCATCTTCTAATAAAGTGGCTACCTCAATCATCAGACGAAACGCAGAAGGGTAAACACATCCACTTCGCACAGACAATAGCTACCGATCGAGCCGAGGTCCGGCCCTCTCGGACACCCTCGAATCGGAATGAAAACGCGTGTTGAGTGACAGCCCAAGCCGAGGTCCCCTCTCGGGGACCCTTGAGCCTGATCACTCCATGGACCGCCCGCCAAAGCGCCCTAAGAGCTTGGCGGCCTCCCAAACCGGTGATAGTAATAGCGTGACGGCCCGGGCCGAGGCTCGGGAGCCCTCGAGCTTAGTCACCATAACGCGTAATAATAATACGCCGAGGTTCAGGCTAAGCACTCCGTGCGCCAGGCCACCTCAAGTCCGTCGGAACTGTAAAGGCCCCTAAGGCCAACAGCGGCTCATCCAGCCCAAAAAAAATAAATAAAAAATAAAAAAAAATCGCACAGGTCGTCTCGAAGAATGTTACGTGCCCTACCACCGTTAAACAGATGTTGGTCTACGTAAGCTTATTCATAAAGGAAATGTTCATAAATTATTTAAATTAATATTTAAAACAAAACCAGTCGTGTGGCTTTTCTTACGGTGGCATCCTTAACCGCATATCATATGAATGATAATAAAAAGTATATATCTTATAGATAGTCATACCTTTACGTCTTAAATATTATGAAAAAATACTCGACAATAATTATTGTTCTTTAAATAACATGTAAATGTCAAAAAAAGTTGTCTATTAATTGGAGATATAGAAAACATTAATACTAAATATACTATAAAAAAACTTAATGATTTAACCTTTACAGTTTTAATTTGCATTTAATAATTATAAATCGCAGTGTTTTTTTTAGTTTGTTAAAGGCAATCCGGTATTATGGGGTGTTCTCAGTGGACTCTCAGTTTTTATTTTTCGTTAGGTAGTTTAGTAACGGCCTAGCACATATACTAATATTAGTCAAAATCGATTATCAACGATCCTTTCCATTTGGCGAATCAATGTGTTAGAATGCTATTGACATTCACCGATGTTGTTTTTCACTATCCTGACTAGTAATTTTCGCCAGTTTGTGCTGTGATTACAACGGGTCATTGATCCTAAAAGGGGTCAATTTATACAGCAGGTATGCAGTAAATAAGGTCAGAAAACTCACAAACATTCGATCGATTTGTCAGTTACCTTTGATTCTCGATACATATATATTTTTTTAAGACAAGACTTTCTACCATTCTGATAAATTTAGACTTTGTATTTAACAACGTGAGTTAACTAATCATTTTTCATGTGGCCGTTTTAAGTAGCCAATATAAATAGATAGTTACTCAAGTAAGTTAGTAACTAAATCGTTCCTTTGTTTTCGGCATGGACGTCCTAAGCACCTACTATAAAGAAAAATGTCTTACATTGAAATAAGGTGTGCTGCAGAATATAGCGAATAACTTGACTTTTTTTTTTTTAAGTCATTGTACTTACTTTAGGATAACATTAACCTGTGTTCGAAGATCGTTTAACACCCGGAAAAACACCCGGATGCGAAACAACTATCTGTAGGTCACACAAATAGTTGTCTGTGGGAATCGAGCCCACGACCCCCGACGCCGAAGCTTATACCTTGACAACTGCGCCTCGGTGTCATCAAAGAGTTCTTTACAAACACTATTAAGTTAGACCCTTAAAAAACGTGTAGCTTTGTGAAGCTTGGGTTCAAAGTTGTTCGAAATATGTTGCTTGAAAACGTTTTTCTTTGCCGAAAAATCTAAACAATCTTTTCTGTCATAAATCCCGTGGTAACTGATTTTTATTCGGAATGTGTTAAATGACTTTTTGATTCTAGAGGACTTTGATCCTTGATAGTGAAACCACCAGAACAGCTACTATCTTCCGAGACAAATAAAATCTCTCAAGTAAAGTATTTTTTTACAACAGCGATTAGTATACATCAAATAGTTACGTTAGATTTGAGACCAAATCTAATCACGTAAGAATTATATAATCACGCCACAATTTACAATAATTTATTTAATTGAGGTTTTGAGTTTCTGCTGTTAGAAAATAACAAACTTGATTTAATGACGTCAAGATAGTGCGCAGTCTGGTTGTCGTGAGGGCCCATTAAAGTTTTCGATGTAAAAAAACAGTAAAATCTTGCGTTTGAAGCTTCCCCCACTATAAGATTATATTGAACTGTTTAGGCATTTTACGTATACACACGTGTGGATGAGATTTTATACTTTTGCGTAGATGACTTTTGACTTATCAGTACTACTAGCCGGTAATGATGTATGTACGTAGGTTGTGCTTATTTTTATCGGCCATATACGCCCAGTTCCCATACGCACGCATTACCATCAATGGGTAATAAAGGGCCAACAGGTTCATGGAAAGATCTAATTTCATTTGGCAATAGTGAAATAGTCAACGATATAAATTGTATGAGACTCCGAACGGAAATTAACATAGTGCAAAACGCCTGGGTTCTTTGGAATCTGGGCATTTGTAACAATAATATTAAGTTTGATGTAATACATGATAAAGACAGGCATTAAGACATCGGCCAACTAACTTTTGATACCGTCGCACTACTTTATCGAGATAATAAATTTCTGCATAGGCGAATACTTTCGGACAATTCTAAATAGTAGTCCAGAATATAAGTGAAAGAAATATTTTAAAAAAAGGAAAATTATATTTCAATTGTAAGGAGTTACAAGCTATTTTGAATTGTATCTTTTATTGTTCGCAGACAAATGAAACATGGTTGTGGGGGCGAAGATGACAATACAGCACGTGCCGAGTAAAGGTCGGATCTCTATTATGAAGATACAGAATTTCACCGTCCATAAAAGAAGTAAGTTCACCGTAACCATCAACTTTACTAACCCGCTTGGTGAGGAATTATTTGTGCCAGAAACGTTTCAAATCTCAGTTACATACATATGCATTATATATATATATTGAATGATCTTCCTAATGATTGGAATGATCCTTATGGTCGGAATGATTAGTTCAAGGAGTTTCACCATCATTTTGGCAACTCAAATGACATTTGAAAAGCCATTTGACAGCTGATTTGTTATCTTCTACGATGATCTGTGTTTCAGAAACCAGAAGTCAGTATTATATAATGTACAAATGTAAAAAAATAGGTATAAATAATAATATTAATTAATAATAATAAACATAACATAATAGAAAGGCGTAAGCTCTAATGCAGAAGGCGGTGCTCCTCGATACCGCCCGCATCGTCCGCCGGTTTCTCTCCCTTTCGCCCTAACCCTCGGCCGTTTGGTCTCCCCTGCCGAGGGCTTCCGTCTGGTTGGGTCCTATTTATATATGTATTATATACAATATTTATATCTATATGTTTATTTTTTATCTATAAACCCAACCAGACGAGAAAACAAATAAATATCCCCAACATAATAGCTTCCGGTTTCCTGGCATGTTTATCAGAATCTAGCGTTTTATATCATGCAAATAACGTTCTAGGTAAGGTTAAGGATAAATGTTTAAAATTATAATTAATGGATTGCAGCTGATGTTACTGAGCTCAGTATTCGGAATGATAAGTGAGTTATTAAAATGTGCAACTCAATCTTTTAATATTCTAAAATATTTACAGTTTCCTTGATATTTTATATAAATCATTAGTAAATGAAACTAATTTTACGGATTTATCGCGTTTATTTTTAATTTAAATTTCCGACGTTTCGAACCCTTTACAACGTTCATGGTCACGGGACAGACTGAGGCGTTAGACGTCTGATTGTCATAGTTAACCCGGGCGACCGTCAGTTTTTGTATTATTAATTTTGTGTCCGATCTATATAGATCAGAGAATTCAAATTAAAAATGAACGCGATAAATCCGTAAAATTAGTTTCATTTATAATGTGTAATCACGTAAATACAAGAAATTATTATGTAAATCATTAGTTTTAGGAACCATAATTCAAGAGGTACTGCGTAACCAAAAATATCACGAGAGTATTAATCACTGCGTAAACACTTTCAATAAATTTGTGTAACTTTGAGATCAAACTTCATGCTACTCAAAACTTCTCGATAATAGGACATTGTTATCTGTGCATTATATAAAGAAAGTGATGAAATTAAGAAATGAATCGTAAGCCAAATGTAAATATTGGTGGCAACAAAAAGCTTTATAGGGAAGTTAGATATGCTATATGTGCTTCCTTGTTTTGTAAAAAGAAAATATGTAATTGACATTTAATTAACAACAATTTAAAAACCCTTTATAAATACTTTCAAATATATAAAAAGTAAGGATGCAGACTTTAATAAAGAGGATTTTGTCGTACCGCAGACCTCAAATGACCCAAAAATTATAACGTACCACATTTCTGTAAAAGTAATCTTCAAAACTTAAATCAACCGTTTCAATCCTTAAGTTTCAGCTTACAATTCACATATTACCAATCTGTGAAAGATTTCTGAGAATTCAAAATTAAATATGTTTATTCAACATAGGAGTATTACACTCGCTTATTGATTGTCAAAATACTACTAGGCTAAGAAGGCTGCATACATGTAACTTAATAGAAAATAAGATTTTACCTCTAGGACAATCGGACTTCCGAGATGGAGATGCACATCGGCGCTTTATTATAAATAATTGATGATGTTTTAACAGCACAAGATGTCGGTAAAGCTACAATGTTGTACTTATCTCGGACATTTGACCCTATATTATCTTTTCTTTTGTGCAAATTGGCGTTTTGCGACAAGTTATCAGGATGGTCGCTCTCAAAGAGTCCGCGACGAAGATAAGTTTTCGAATTCATGTCCTTTATTTCGCGATGTGCCACAAGGCTCAACGTAAATCCTATCCAGGTTTAGTGTTTTATAGGCTTTTATTCTAATAACAAAAATTCATATTGACATGTAAATATGGTATGATTCAAATATTCTTTTTATACAAATTATTAAAACTTTCGTGAGACATTATTAAAGTAATAATAAGACGGCTGAACTCACTGTTCTTTTTATTTTTAAGTTTCTCTTAGGTTTTCTGGTTTCTCTTCAATTTCATTAACTCAATGTCTTTGTCTTTATTTTTGGTTTCAGATTCGGTGGTAAAAGTTGTATACGGCACACTTTTAGCGATTTTGGCAGTTGTGTCTTTCGCTATTGACCCAGTGGATATTTTTACGAATTGGGTAAGTAATTAATATTTATTAATTATAATTAAATTTGTTGATTCATTGTATACTATATTACTAGTATGCTATTGCAGATACTGTCATTAGCCAAATAAGCACATATACATATATCAGAAAGAACAAACAAAGATGACACATGGAGATTTATAAATTAATAATACACGACAAAACACACAGTGATATATGAAATCGTATTTAAGTACAACTAACTTACAACACTGCTCATAAAGATACACTTTATAATTATTATTAGATGACCGCCACTAAAGCAAGATTCTTTGTCGTTTATGATAATTATGATAGAATCAAAAGTCATCTTTAAATGCGCAAGCACTAGTATTTTCGTAAATCAATATACACCTACTGTGTTAATAGACAAAACTGTGACGAAACGTCTATAAAACTTAATTGTACAAGCATACAATGCAATTATCTATTTACATAAATAGATAAATAACTAATTGTCTTGCTCTTACGCTTAATATCATACAGACAAGAAAAATATTATCGTAATATTATAAATTTCAATATTATTAACAACAGTTACGTGCTTATTATACTTTAAAGAAATCTTATGTTCCAAAAAATTTAACAAAATGTTATAATTATGCAATGAAATATTTTGATTTTTTTTAACCGAAATATCGACGCTCGTGAAATTTCACGCGTTGATGTCTCTTATATGGGGCTACGGCGTGCCTTTCCATGTGCCTACGAATCGATCGGTTTATGACGTCACAAAGGCACGGAGCGGCTCGGTAAAATACTTGGAACGGGTTAGTCAATAAATTACCATAAAACAAAGTAGCACACCCCGCGCGTCATAGCCGGCGTTCATTAATCGCTTCGAGCTGAGTTGCCACCGTTAATTATGATATATGGTCAATAATAATAACTCGCAATTGATCCTATCTTGCTAATTATTAATCCGGAATAATTTGCGTCATTCGCCTCCCGGCCGTGATGCCTTTCATGTTGTGTATATGTTGTTAAGCTTATGAAGCTTAGCAAAAATGAGGTCGACTTGCAATATTTTTGTGGTAAGAAAATTTTTTATTGAGATAACAAGAAAGGATTTACGTTATGATAATTTTTTACTGTATATACCACAGTAAAGATTGTGTTGCCCCGTCTTTACAAAAACCCATGTGATGCTTCTTAATTTGGTGATCGTGGTATAAAAACAAAAACAACATCTGCCAGTTTTTTTTTAATGTGAAAATTTGTCAAGCGAGCAGACGGTTCACCTGATGTAAAGTGAATACCACCGCCCATGGATATCTGCTACCCCGAGGGTTGCAGATGCGTTGACAACCTTTTGAATATTGGGCTCCGGCTACCTGACTCACCAGACGAAACGGGAATGTATTATACTTTCACTTTACGCCGGTCTTCTGTGAGGTCGTGGTACTTACCCGGACAAGCCTGCCCATTCGTGCAACACACGAGGCTGCTGCATGGCCCTACCACCGTAAAAGTTCATTGGTTTTGCAAATGTCCTTGAGCGACGATATTCACTAAACATTTATTTATAGTTACTTACTTGATTAAATTCCTAGGAGAGTAACTTAACCAAAAAAATATTTTATATTGTTATATGAAACTTATACGTAACTTGTTAATATGTCACTGAAAAATTTAACTCGTTGTTTATCTGTTTTAAAAAACGCATAAAATAAACGATAACATCAGTGTCATTATAATGTACATAATTATATTCCTCGTGTATCAAGCGCGGAGTGTTGTCGTCTTGCATAGAGATTTACTTAACTACAATCATTTGCTGACACAACGCCTTAACTACTCACATTACTAAAGTAATGTTAACCGAAACACAAGCCCAGCTTTTTTCGCATTTATATTGCTTGCAAATCTGACTATGTATATACACCCTACACACCGGGTCACCTTTGTGTGTACGTATAAAAACACAAAGGTGACCCTAAGTTTGACAAACACGATATATGAAACCCTTTTTTTTAGGGTTCCGTACCCAAAGGATAAAACCCTATTATTAAGACTTCGCTGTCTGTCCGTCTGTCACCGGGTTGTATACCGTGATAGTAGGACAGTAGCAATTTTCGCAGATGATGTATTTATGTTGCCGCTATAACAACAAATGCTAAAAAACAAAATAAAAAATATTTAAGTGAGGCTCCCATACAACAGGCAAGATTTTCGGCCGTTTGTAGATAATGGTATGGAACCCTTCGTGCCCTAGTCCAACTCGCACTTGGCCCGTTTCAATTTTTTTTTTGTTTTACGTCCTGTGATCGTGTTTTATTGAAATAATTAACGAATCCTTAATCCTATAATCAAGCTACTTAATACCGTATAAGAGATATGTTCAGTAAAATAGGGTTATTATGTTAATTATTTAAATATAGCATCCAAACTAGAAATTTGATTTATCCATAATTTATTCATCTATTTGATCCCATTATCCTATCTCGTTCGTTAGCCGATGTCAGACACAAATTGGTTAATAAACTAACTTGTCGTTTAACATATTGAAAATACCGCTTAACCTAATACTTATAAATTATTTACTTCAGTATTGAATAATTTTCGTGATATTAGAATATATACGACTATAAATTTATTAGATTAAGTTATTTCACGTCACGTTGCTCTGTCAGAACTTTTGCTATGTATGGTATGCGGTATTTAGGTAACCGAACCGTGTCACATCGAGGGACAAAACCAATTAAATATCGTACTGATGAAATTAGTTATAAAATACTAATATTTTTTATGATAAAAATTTTAATTTGATTTTAATTGGAGATAGAAAGAAATATGGACTAACGTGAAATTTCTTCTATATAATTTTATTTTGATAACAGTACCTATTTTTAGTTAAGTATAGTAATCATTTTAATATTATTCATTTATGTAATTTTTAAACCAGTTTTACTTTTTTATAAGTTTAGTATTAACATCTAACACTTCTGAACCTTCATATTTTGTTTTTGGTCTTAAAAAGTAAAGTATCACCCTATACATATCCCACTGTTGGGCAAAGGCCTCCTCTGTACGAAGGGTATCATGGCAGAGTCCACGATGCGGGCGCTGTGTGTTGGTGGACTTCACATATCTTCGAAATATTTTTTTTGTTATTATTTCGAAAACATGCAGGTTTCCTCACGATGTTTTCCTTTACCGCTGAGCACGTGATAATTCGGCACTTAAAATTAACAATTTCACTGGTGTCGGCACCGGAAATCGAACTCAGGTTGTTGCAGTATATCGAATTATACAAGCTTATCACGGCTTGTGTTTTTGGTCCTCATAATAAGTATTTCTTACGATACCTTTAAACAAGCAATTCTTGTATACACATATAGTACCTGGAGGTTTTTTTTGGTAAATCATGTATTTCGGAAATAAAAAAATAAAAAATAAAGAAAATGATCTGGTATAGAAAAAAAAGTATGAAAATCGCATAGCCGTTTCCGAGATTCCGGTTATATTATATCTTATCCTTAAAATGAGCAATTCTTATTTCTATAAATATATATATATATATATATATATATATATATATATATATATATATATATCACTTATTTTTTATATTTTAAGATCGAAAAATATTATGCATATTTCATTGCTCAGTAATTAGTATCTAAATGTAATTTCTAAAATATACGATTTACCAAGCAGTCGGTTCTCCAGTTACTAAATATTAAGCGAGTAGTTCTCTAGTATATTTGTGAACCGACATAGATGGATATTTGTTACGTTTTCTTTCCCACGGAGATTTATCTTTCGAATTTTATATTCACAATATCATGGCTGTTTCTGTGTTGCGCCGCCTTCTCGTTAAGTAGAGTTCTGATAATGACTTCCCCACATCACTAGGCAACCTTCAAATAATCGCAAGGAAGAAACTCCGTGTTTATCCCACCATTTAACACTTAAAACAGTGTTAACACGTCATTAACAATGTCAATATTGTGCCCACGCTCAACAGTTTCAACGTTGGCGAAGACAATCCTCGGTTATGTTCTGTAATTATTGTCAAACATCGAAGAACCTTGTACATCTCGTTAAGGAATATTTTAACTATAATAAACATACTGAAATAAGGTTTTTGTAAGTAGACGTAGGCGCTTTCAGTTTATGTGGTCTATGTAAAGCTCAACGGTCGACGCCACCTGGTAAATGCTCATTTTCACGGAAAAAATTTTTTGGTAACAGAACGTACTGCCCCTTGCTTACAATGATTTCATACTGTACCAGTAAATATGGAAAAACGAACCACAAAGATTAGGTATATCGATGAAGTTAAAATAATGAATGACTCCGTGGCGCCGTTGCTAACCTGTTGGCTTCGGCGTCGGGGGTTTTGGGTTCGATTCCCACAACACAACGAGGATCTGGGTGTTTGCTGGGAGGGTTGACGCGAAGCAAGCGGCCCGTCGTAAAATGAATCGTTAGCTAAAACCGCTTACGACAAGATCTTCGCCGACGATTCATAGATGCGCCAGGGATAGGTTCAACGTAGCTTTTTTATTTGGTACAGTCCATTAGAACCATTCAGAAATGGTTCTGGCCGGTACTCCCACATATCGCCTGCCACTCTTCCGAGCAAGGGATCCATAAAGGGATGTTCACATTAAAGAAAAAGCGCGTTTTTATTCCCATATGAGAACTTCAGTCGTTGCATTTTATAATGTATCTTATAAAAAATATCCTACAAATCTTATCATATAATGATGATATGTTATGAGTAATGATATATGTATGGACGTGATTTACCGAATAAGATGCAATAAATTTAGCTTTTCATGGAGAAATATAAATAACAGCAAGATTAGAACTTACGGTCTGAAAGATAAACATTTTCAATAAGAATTTATTTTCAGTATTTTATACAATTTTTGATATATAAGTATAAAGGCTCGCATCCTTCTAGCCCCACGAGAACAACGCCTAACAGCGCATCATAACGCATTTATTAACCGACTTCTAAAAAGGAGGATGTTTCTCAATTCGACCGTATATATTTTTTTTGTGTGTTCGGGGATAACTTCGCATTTATGAACCGATTTTGATGATTCGTTTTTTGTTGGAAAGGAGATATCCCAAGGGTAGTACCATGATCAACAAGGAAACCCAGATCTGATGGTGGCATCCCAGAGAAATCGAGGGCAATCCTCAAATGTTATAGGCGTTGACAATGCTTTTAGTTTCCTGTTTGAAGACGATTTTTTTTTGTTCAAAATTATCAGATTTATAATTGAGAGAAACATAATGATGTATGTGACATGCGAAGACGTTGAAAACAAAACAGTATTCACTTGCTCTCAGTGTAATTATACATAACAACCCTGACCCACTGTGCTGCGTTCACTGACCTTTCAACCTGTCCATTTAATATACCAGTTAGTCGTTCCCCGGTTTCACATGTGAGCACAAATCAAAGTTGCTTTTAATATTCAGTGTCAATTTACGAAATACGAATGTTCATATAATCAACACGCCGATAGATTTAACGATTGCGTCAACCGTTCAAATGTTACCTTATACCTTTTTCGTCCAATTCGATCCACACATACCGTGATTATCATAAAAAACCGGCCAAGTGTGAGTCGGACTCGCGCACGCAGGGTTGCGTACCATTCTATAAAAACGGCGAAAAAATCGTGTCTCTCTCTCTATCTATCATGGTATAAGAGATACAGCCTATGACAAAGGTACAGACAGATAGCTCTGAGTCTTAGTAATATGGTCCCGTTTTACCTTTTTGGTGCGGAACCCTAAAATGTATCAATTTAAACCGAGTCAACAAACTACTGTTTACTAGGCACATTCTCTTTGTGTACTATAAAGTATAAAATAGTACAAACTCTGGCATGTGGTTAAACCCGTGGCTATTAAATAGAGATTGCTCTTTTTGCCTTTTCACGTAGAAGATGATGACTGTGGACAAGCATAAACTTAAGATTTGAAAAACCTACGTCATATACACATCACTTTTAAATATTTTTGTCATGATCGCTTCACTTGTTTGGTGCTGATTTGTCAAAGACGTTTAAGAGCGTGTTTAGAATGTTTTAAGACCTCTCTGCTCAACAACCCATATCACATTTTATATAATATTATATTATTTTGAGAGTTTAATACTGCTATTTCGAAATACTTCCTGACAATATTTATGTCGTATTTGTGCCGCATCTATGATGATAGACTTACAGAAAGCTACTCCATAAAATGGATTCGTAGCTTCAATGTCCTCCCTAAATATTCAAAAGAAGTGTGCATTTTATAGAATTTTCAAGGCGATTCAAGTTGATGAAATAATTATACAACTTAACTCAATTATTTAAACATTACACAGGTCTTATATGGAAATCAGATTAGGCCAGTAATTTATTAGTCAGTTTGAAACACACCTTAAGGAACACTGGTTTTGAATGCGATGTGCTTAAAAAGATTAGTGCCTAAAATAATATACCAAGATAATTCAACACAATGCAAACTGTAAAAACGCACAAAGCTCTTAACAATGTCTGTCTAGACAAGTAAAAGGTGACTGTACGTTTATCTCAATGTATGTCAAGGTGGCAACTCAAAACTTATTCATTCACTAAACGCGTAGTTTGATCTAATGCAACATTGCCACACCGTTACCAACGTCCGGATGCTATAATTTGTAACAGAGCAAAAGCCTATTATAAGTAATCGGTTAATCATTATCGGTTGACGTGTATGGTAAACATGCAATGCTCCACATACTTTGTAATTGGTATCCGAAATGATAATATGACATGCTAAAACTATTCTTATTTAATTTCAAGTTATTGAAATAAATTTCGAAGGAAGTATTCTCTCATAGTAGGGTAGGTTAATTTACTTACCTTAGGTAGGATAGTTGAGCATAGTCCACCACAAAACCTTGAGTTCAAATATTCAAGGATGGTGTGATTTTTGTTACTCAAGGATCAATTGCATGAATTTTCAATTTATCCAATTTAATATAAAAGACCCAATCTAGAGTAATAAAACATTTCAGCATATGAGAAACCTGAAATAGAACAGATTGTTATCTTATTTTTATTAACACATATTGTTACGTGTATCAATAAAACCTGAAGATACTAAACTTTAAAATAATCGTTTTCACTATCTTCAACCTACGATGGCTTTAGTTCATATTCGCACTGTATTAAATTGTTGGTTTTGTTTTCAGTAATGTAACTCATCGATATAATTTAATTAAAAACTAACACCACATACAAGTATTAAGGAAGCAATCTCGATTAATGTTCTAAATTGTACTCCAGATCCATGGTACCGTTGCCAAGCTATTGGCTTCAGCGTCGGGGGTCGTGGTTTCGATTCTCACACGGAACAAGAACATATTGTATAAATAGATAATTGTTCTGGATCTGGGTGTTTGTTTCCCAAGGAGGGTTGACGTCAGGCAGGCCGGTCGTAAAATACATAGCTAAAACCGCCTTATAACATGATCCACATGTTCCACATGATCCAAAAATGAGCCACACGTTGTGCCGACCCCAAAAAGGTGGGATAAGGGCAGGAGGATGATGATGATTTCGGGTGATATTAACTTTCTCCTACATTTTGGTTAAATTTTTGTTCCAGTATCTAGACATGCAAGAGGGCAAGTTCATCTACAGAATGTGGGAGAAGCCGACTTACAAGCTCTTCTCAGAGGTGCATATATTCAATTACACCAACATCGACACCTACATGAGTGGAACGGATAAAGTTCTGAAGCTGAAAGAGATTGGACCCTTTAAGTTTCAGTGAGTACATCTTGACAAAGTTCAATGAAACAAAAATCTTAAAAAAAAAACGCGAAAAACTCAATTACCTTTGAACCGAGTAAGCCAGCAGTAAAGCGTATAAGTGTTTGCAAAAATATTTTCCAATGTTTTCGTACACATAAAGGACCTTTCGACCCCTGACAAATGGCTCGGAGGTTTTTGTTCGCAATTAAATATGTCATTGAAACACGCCATTGTCTGTTTTTGCAAAATATTTGACGTTGCGACCTCCGGAAATGTCAAACAATATATTGTTACAAATATATTGGACAAAAAATACTTACAATAATAAATACTAAGTTACAAAATAGGCATGTTTTAGATATTCTGAAAGAGATATCTTTACAAGTAGAGAATATGAAAAATCGAGAACGTTAAGAATATGCAGAAACATTCCAATTAATGCTAACATTTACCGAAGATCTAGATATATAAGTTGTTTATAGTGCTAATCTTTGCACTTAAGATTGAACATTAAAATATGTAGAAAAAGTGCGAAAAGATTGTCACCGCTGTGGGAATCGAACCCACGTCTTCGGCATTCGCGGCCTGACGCTCTATAGCCACTGAGCTAAACTCTGATTACCACGAAACCGACGAAAATATAACAATAGATGGCGCCAAGCATTGCTTTGCTAAGAAAAACAATGTGGAACGCATTTTCTTCCATCATTGCTCAGTGGCTTCAGGCCGCGAATGCCGAAGACGTGGGTTCGATTCCCACAGCGGCGACAATCTTTTCGCACTTTTTCTACATATTTTAATTGAAGATTTAGATAGTTAGGAAAGTTGGCTGTTTCGAAATATAACTTATTTATTTTTCTAGCTTGGCAATTTAAAATATTTCTCAAATACCTGAAAAAAGCAATGGCGACATCTCTCGTTCGAATTATCGTTGTAAAACGATATTCGAAATTGTTTGTATGCTGGAAAGGATATAACAATAGATGGCGCCAAATTAACCTTTCGTGCCGGAATCCCTTATTTTTTACATGTACAACCTGCGCTTTGTTCCAGAGAGTTCCGCACTAATGCCAACATCACGGTAGACAGGGAACGCGGCGTGATGACTATGCTGCCGAGAATAGATCTTCAATTCCTGCCCGAAGAGTCGGTGGCCCATTACAAGGACATCAATGTCGTCATGCCCAACATTGCACTTATTGTAAGTAGTCACGACATATCCCTCGGTTAAGGATCTCGATTACTTCTAAAGATTTGAATTAAAAAAATGCTAGAGTAATGTTTAATGCCACTATCGGATTGTTTTCCTAATATTATGAAGTTCAAACCACCTTGTAATTGTCTTAAGCCGTTTTAAAAATTTCAAAATGTAATTCGTGTACTTTTAGTGTACTTAGAAATTAATGATAAAATAAAGATATTAAGCATATTTTAAACACAAATGTAGCGGAAAAAAATTAGAGATAAACTTTGATCTCTATCTTTGACATAAAGAGATAAGTATGAACTCAATGTTTTACGAGATAACAAATTATTAAGACGACATCCGGCATAAAAATAGAAAATATGACACCAAAACCATTTAGATACGAACGAAAGTAGTGAGATAATGTGAAGCGCGCGAGATATATTTTATTACATTTACAATTTAACTTAATTTTCAATGTTGTTTTTAAATCGCATGAGCACATTAGGCAGCAATAGGTCATGAAGTCACTATTGTAAGCCCTCGTATGTGGTGGTTGTCCATGTAGTAATTACTTAACATCGGGTGAATCGTATGCTCGTATGCAACATTCCTAAGAGAGATCTTAAACACAATTTTAACTGTATAACGTCTTGTTTTTAGGGATGTCAGTTAAAATAACCTCTTCTCGCCTATCATGACATATGGTCATTGTAATTCTTTTTAATCAAGTACTTAACGATGTCTCAACGCGACCTTTAGTTGACATACGCCTGATGCCCACTTTACTGAAAGGTGGCAACACATCTGCAACCCTGTGGGAGTTATAGATGTCCATGGGTAACACTTAATATCAAGTGAACCACCGGCTCGATGTCGCCTTTTTACATAAAAAAAGTCTGTGTGTACTTATGTATGCACGCAAGAAGTTATAGTTCTTTAGCGTAAAGATATTGAATGTAATTGATAATTGTTTATTTAAATAACTAAGAATAATTGGTAAATGTTAAAACGATGTTATTGGTTGCCAAAATTATATTGGTTACCATCAATTCACTATCATAATTATAATAAATTTTACCATCATAATTTTTTAAACGAGCCAAAAGAAGTAAAACTTCAATATCATTTAAGTGGCTTAAAACCACAAACCCGTTCCGGAGAAAATTGTAATGATAAGACGAACAACGGTTTCCTATATCATGTGTTTTGCTATTCGGAAGTATAGCCACAGTGGAGCAAAATGTGTGATCTGACACACTGCCTGAAACATCAACACGGTTGATAATGAAACAGACACAACAAAATGACGAATTGAGTCAACGTACTGTTATATATAAAACCGTATAACAGTGCGATAAGGAGGTTAAACGAGGGAACATCTTTCGCGGTCCTTGAGATAGGTAACGAGGCACTTTGCAAACAATTCATTTCTTATGTATTTAATTATTTATTTGATTAAGTAGGAGTATTTAAAATATTTAAAAAAAAAGTTAATAATGATGAATACGATACAACATAATGTATAATGTCATCTTAAAAAACTTTCTCACATTAGAGCCCGTAGGCGACATGCCATAATTTACGCACGCATAAGTACATGCGTGGCCCTACCCATTAAGGAGGGCTTCATGGGTTCTGGCTAGCCCAGCAGTTCTGCGTTCGATCAAACTTTGATAGTCTAAGGACTGAAAGTGTAACATCAATTACACAATAACCAAAACAAAAAACGTTAGAGCTCAGTATACGGTGAGACTAGGGCTGCCAACTGTTTTTAAGAAAAAAAAAAGTATTTGGAAGAAAAAAAAAATATTTTTTTGGGAAAAAATTTATACAACGTTTTAACTTAAAAGCATCGATAAAAGTTCAGTAATTATACATACATAATATATTATATAGGTACATACATTGCAATTGTTTCATTTTATTTAAATATTGAAAATAGAGTATTTTCACATTTTTTTTATTCATAATTATAAAGTATCTTTACAAAAAATAAAGTAAAATACTATATTATAAAGTACGGTTGGCAGCTCTAGGTGGGATTCAACGCAACAACGACGGTTAAAGTTGAATAATATTAATTTAGTTACGACGACCACGACGAATCATTTACGTAAGTTTAAATAATACGCTTGATTGTGTACATAAAATACTGACCTTACATATCAAAGTAAAAAATAAATGCATAGGGATCCTTCAGATGTCCGAACGGCCTCTACGGTTGCATATTTTTATTGACCTCGTAGCTATTTGTTTAGCATTGAAACCGAGACATTACAACGTTCCTTTACTGGTAAGTATAATTATACCCACACTATAAATGACTGCGTTACTGAAGATTAATTAGGCTTGATATATGTTTGAATTTGGTTAATTTTAACAATGGAAACAGGGCACAAAATCTAGTGAGGGGATTTAGATTAACGGACCCCGGTTACCCCACTTACGAGATAGAATGCAAAACTATATAGGCGCCAGCGTGGGGACTCCTCTCGGGTAGAGTAATTTGAAACAACAGAAACTGCGCATCCGTACCATAAAACTGATAGGTTGATTGAAAACCTTATAAAATGCATGAAAATAATCGTCAGCATTCTTTTCATCTTTATTTTATGTAGTGTCATTTTTTTTTAAACCACTCTTGCCAGATGGAACGCGAACGTATAACATTTCACTTGATGACGGTCTTCTGTGAGTTCGTGGTATTTCGCTGGATGGGCCTGCCCGTTCTTGCAACAGCATAAGCTGTCCCTACCACAGTAAAAAGGGTGCTTATTCTAGTTAATTAAGGTTACTTTGATGACGATGACGCCGATGACTACGATAACTCAATATATAAAAATCGGGTTCGGCGTCGGGGTTCGCTGGTTCGATTCCCACACGAGATAAATATTTGTGTGACCCACAGATAGTTGTTCCGCATCTGGGTGTTTGTCCGCGTGAAATTTATGTTTGTAAAAACGTCCTTACAACACAGGATAATGTTATCCCAAAGTGAGAGAGATGTTTTTTTTAAAATATGGGAATAAACTTGGTAATGTAATTTGGTATTTATTTTTGAATAACTGTCACGAATGTAGTTACTAGAAAACACTTACATGCTAATCATAATTCTTACGTAACTATGATAATTCTGTAGGCCTTGGAGAGTGAAGCTGTTACTGAGGCTGTAGAGTAAATGGAAACTATGCACGAGTGGTTTTGGTAATTATCTTGCGCAATTTGTCTCTATATTGAATGACAAATAGATCAGAGATTACAAACAATTGAAATCTGCTAGTGATGCACATGGGCCAAACGCGCAAAAAGTTACCACAAAATAAAGATAAACATCCACCGAATATCGCATGAAAGATGACAGTCTGTAATTTCCAATTTAACGCAAATATTGCGCACAAAACTAACAAAAGCGGCCAAGTGTGAGTCGTACGCGCGCATGAAGGGTTCTGTACCCTTAGCTACAGAACTATAAAAACGTCTATAACTATATAAAAAAATCATGTATGGGAGCCCCGCTTAAATACTTTTTTATTTTGTTTTTTAGTATTTGTCGTTATAGCGGCAACGGAAATACATTATCTGTCTAACTATCACGGTTCATGAGATACAGACTGGTGACACATGGACGGACAGACGGACAGACAGATAGACAGAAAGCGGAGTCTAAGTAATAGGGTCCCGTTTTACCCTTTGGGTACGGAACCGTAATGAACCAAGGTGACTAAGAACTACCCGTATTCATACGTTTTTACGTACATAAAATTATTATATTTGCAATTTCTACCAGTACGGTTATTCAGATTTAATTAGGTTCTGTAAGCGATCGATGTTTTCAATTATTTATATCCACCTATATACTTATAGTTAGGCAATAATTTGATGAATCCGTGGCGCAGTCGCCAAGGTATCGGCTTCGGCGTCGGGGGACATGGGTTCGATTCCCACACGGGACTCGCAGATAGTTGTTCCGCATCTGGGTGTTTGTCCGCGTGAAATTTTTGTTTGTAAACCGTCCTTACAACACAGGATAATTTTATCTCAAAGTAAGGGCAGTGTATAAAAAAAATCAAACGTTTTAATGGATGCCAAATTTAATACATAAAATTCTCGTGTCACGGTGTTTGTAATTGAACTCCTCCGAAACGACTAAACCGATTATCGTGAAATTTTGTGTGCATATCGGCCAGGGTGGAGAATCGGATAACATCTATTTTTTATCTCCCTAAATGTTAAGGGTGATGGTCCACCCCAAATACTTTTCTCTACCCCAGAAATAATTTATATGGCCAAACAACGTTTGCCGCGTCAGCTTGTGTTAATATAAAAACTTAAAGCATGAACAAAACATCTGTTGGCAAACTTTCGTTAAACGCGGAGTCAGCGTAAAAGCTATTTAAAGAATGAATAAATGAATAGATGAATGAAAGAATGAATGCCATAAGAGCTTGTTTGTTTACATGTTCTAGTTTGATTAATGATTCAAGCGACAGTATAAGTAATTCACTTGCCTCCTATTTGCGGTAGCTCTGGGTATTTATAAACCACCGTACTTCTAAAGTTACCATTTTCACGGTATTTTTTGCCCGTATAAAAAACCGGTAACAACCATAGTAGCACCTACATTATCCGATTTATATTTGAAATTAAATCACTGTTAAAACGCTTTATTTGCGTATAAGTATAAATAAATTTACATCTCATTTTGTAAGTAATAAAAAAAGCAATATCTATTCGAAATTCAAAAAACGGGCTAAGTGCGTGTCGGCCTTGTGCAAGAAGGGTTCCGAACAATTATCTATAAAAACGTAAAAAAAAATCATTTGTGTTGTATGAGAGCCACACTTAAATATATTTTTATTGTTTTTTAGTATTTCTTGTTATAGCGGCCACAGAAATACATCATTTGTGAAAATTTCAACATTCTAACTATCACTGTTCATGAGACACTACAACCCGGTGACAGACGGGCGGACAGACAGACAGACAGATGGATATACAGACCGACGGACAGAGAGCGAAGTCTTAGTAATAGGGCTCCGTTTTACCCTTTAGTTACGGGACCCTATAAACTTATTTAGAAAACCCGTGTAAAAGTTCCTATGCCTAGATGTTAATTTAAACTGATTCAATTACCATATTGCAGCGTATAGTTAATCAGCTATACACATGTCTTGTAATCTTTAGTCAACTAAAACAAGTTTTTAGTGAATTTTTCTAGTTAAACATTATGTACAATTTACAATTTTCAATGTGAAAATATAATATAATACGTGCTAATATGATTATTGCTTGTAATATTTTTAATTATACAAGAATTGCCGCAGGACAGTCATCTTTTAAATTTTAATGCCTTTGTAATAAGATTTGCCAAGTCGTAGCGATTACGACACGATAGAACAGGAAAATCAACAATTTCTGTGTCGTGCAAATATGCGTGGCCGACGGTAGCTGAAATTTTAATCATATACTCGTTAAAGATCATTAATTCCTTTGTCCACATTATCCTCTGTGCTAAATATGTAAAACATCAGCATGAGCAATTTATAATTGAATATAATTACTTATTTTGTATGCTGTATATTTATAAAAACCAGAACATAATTTTATACACACAATTTTTCCTTAGTATATTTTTTTTATGTGGCAAAGGGCAAACGAGCTGGCGGTTCACCTGATATTAACTGATAGCTGCCGCCCGCAAATGGTGGCAACGCATCTGCAACACCCGTAGGGTTGCAGATGCGTTGCCACCTTTTAATAAAGTGGGCCCCGGCCACCTCACTCACCAGGCGACACGCAGAAGTGTAACACTTCTACTTCACGCCGGTCTTCTGTAATGTTGTAGTATTAACCCGGACGGACCGGCCCATTCGTGCAACAGCGGACACTGTTGCGTGGCCCTGCCACAATTAAAAAATATGCTGACAAGACACTGGTGATATCATTATCAGTTATATTTTCAGTGGCCCTACCACAGTTAAAAATGTGCTAACGAGTCACTGGTGATATAAATATCAACACAAAACATATTTCAGGCCATCAGCACTTTAATAGCAGACAAACTGGGATATTTGGTCAACGCTGGTGCCTATTACTCGATATCGGCAATCGGCTCGAAGCTGTTCAGGAACATGACGGCGGAGGAGCTGTTCTGGGGGTACACCGATCCGATGGTGTCGATCGCCAACAAACTCTTGCCCGGCTGGATCGATTTCGAGAAGATTGGAATAATGGATCGGGTGGGTTATTTATTTTATGCGAGTAAGTGGCGAGTGATGGTAAGTGACTGCCGCGACTCATGGGCATTTGCAACAACCACGGTTGTAGATGCATTGCCATCTTTTAAAGTGAGCCCCGGCTACCTCACTCAACAGCCGAGACGAGACGCACAATCATAACACTTTCACTTTACGCGGGTCTTCTGTGAGGTCGTGGTACTTACCCGATTGAAGCTGACCATTCATGCAATGGCGAAGACTGTTTGTGGCCCGAGTGAATTCTAAATCGGTGCCCAATTACGGGCTCTGCGAACGAAATGTTTTCAAGTACCTATTTTTTACACGTAGGCTTTCAATCTATTAAAAGTAGTGGCAATGCATGAACTTTTATTAAACTACTAGCTGTTATCCGCGGCTCACCCGCGCGGCCAAAGGGAATTAACAATTTACATATATTTTGTACAATTCACACAATATCTTTATATATTATAGCCTTTGTCTTATTCTGATGCATAAGCTATATTATTGTAAAGTTAAATTACAATCTATTCAGTTGTTATTGTGTGAAAGAGTAACAAACATCCATCCATACCTACAAAATTTCGCCTTTATAATATTAAGTAAGTATGTCGTGTAGTCAGGTCAAGGTTCGTTGAAATTTTTAAAGTACCAAGTTTCAAATTATTATAAATTATATAAATCTTTGTATGTACCCAAAAGAATAATACCAGCTTATTTAATATATTTAATTGGGTCTGATCTTGAAGATGCAATAGGACTTTAATTATTGTTATTACGATCTTCCATTATTATCTCGTTCTTTATTCAAAGATACTCCTTTGCTACAGTTCTACGCCAAAAGGCCGGAGAAAGCGGAAGTGGAACTTGGCAATGTCACGAAGAGGTTTTCTGTTAATTCTTGGAACGACTCACCTGGACTAGTGGAGCAAGGCTTCAAGGATCTTAATACGAGGTAGGTTTATAACTGATATCCGCAACTATGCTTTCTGCTTACCCAACTTCTCCAAAACAAGAAAACACTATGTTAACAATTAAAAGTATACATAACGTTATTTGATGTCTCCGTGGCGCAGTTGTCAAGGTATTGGCGTCGAGGGTCGTGGGTTCGATTCCCACACGGGACAACTATTTGTGTGACCCACAGCTAGTTGTTTTACATCTGGGTGTTTGTCATCAAATCATTCAACATTCATCATCAAATGTATGTTTGTAAAACGTCCTTACAATACAGGATAATGTTATCCTAAAATAAGGGCTATGACTTTTTTTAAAAAGAGAAAAAAAAAGGAAAAAAGATATAACTAAGACATGAATAGATATGTACTCGGTATGATTTAGCGATTTTCAGTAGATAACCAACATAACATAACATACAAAATTAAGAAAATAAATGATAAACTAGAACTAAGATTAACACAAAACGGGTACATTAATTCAAGGACAATAACACAATAACTACTAATAATAACACAAATTTGGTACATTAATTCAAAGATAATAACACAATAACTTCTAACAAAGTATGAACAAGTGAACAGAATAAAAAGAACAAAATTACTAGGGCCGAACAACAACGTACCAAAGAGAGAAACAAAATCATTGTTTCTTAAAACTTTAATCACTTTACATTAAACGAAGATATCTCAATATTTTCTTTGTATAATACCCAAGTGTCTTAAAAAAAAAACTTGTAAGAATGAATGGAATTTTATTCAGTAGACGGTATCAATCCTATTGTTATAAACAAACATTTAACTGTCGTTAAACAAATGAGGCTGAAATAAGAAGCTTATGTTTACTTAATATATCCGTTTGTTATAGCACCCTATGCAACAGGATTAAAGGGTCGTTCGAGGGTCTGATGCTGCCACCCAAGATTTCGAAGGATACAATCGTTCCCATATTCAGGAAACAGGCTTGCCGGACCTATCCTTTCTCCTTCCTGGAGGAGATGACAGGAGACTTCGGATTTAACTACTATAGGTACTTTATTCACAATGATATCAAGTTTTTTTTATGTGAAAAGTTGTCATGCGAGCAGGTTCACCTGATGTTTAGTGAATACCGCCACCCATGGACATCTGCTACACCTGAGACTTGACAACCTGAAAATTGGGCTCCGGCTACCTCACACACCAGACGAAACGCGAAAGTATTTGTCATACTTCCACTTTACGCCGGTCTTCTGTGAGGTCATGGTACTTACCCGGACGAGCCTGCCCATTCGTGCAACAGCCGAGGCTGCTGCGTGGCCCTCCCACAGCAATCACCAAGTTGTAAGAAATTTCATAAACTATGAAACTTTGAAATTATTCATTCATATCAATAATCGAATAATCTTCGTTGTGTTATAAAAGTTTAATCTTGTAATGGATCACGTCATACACAGGATATTTTCACTTATTGCTGTCTCTTTCTTGCCTCAGGTTCCAATTACAAGATTCAGCTTTCAATAAAACGTCACCGTACGCCTGCAGTTGTTCCCAGAATTGCCTTCCCGATGGCTTTGTTGACATAAGCAACTGTTACTACGGTAAGTTAAGAGATTAATTAAAAACCAAAACTCAAATCAAAAACCGGTAATGGTCTGGTTTACTTTCTGGAAACGAACATTTTCAACCCATTATTCATTTACATATCTACAAATTAAAAGCAAAACTTTTAAATGCAATTTAAATAGTTGATTAAGAAATGGTATTTAATGAAAGAAACAACCTTAGGAATATATTTTTTTATACGAGAAGGTGACAAACGAGTTGGCGATTCACCTGATGTTAAGTGCTAACAATACAAGTTGACAAGTTGACTGCTAACAATAACAGTTGAGATTCAATACCCGAGGGTTGCAGATGCGTTGCACCTTTAAATAAAGTGGGCCCCGGCTATCTAGTAGACGAAACAGTGAATATAACAGGTCCATTTAACACCGGTCTTCTGCAAGGTCGTGGTACCTACCCGGACGGACCTGCCCATTTTTGCCACTGTTAATAATTATATTATATTACATAACCAAGTATTAATAAACAAATATCAAATGCTCCGTTTTCTTTCAAGATAGCATTTGATATAATCGGTTAAGTAGCCATTTAGCCATTTTAATACCGGTTCGCCTTATTAATAAGATTAAAATTAGCTAACTCAAAGTATACCTATTTCGTTTATGTTTAATTAACATTTGTCGAATTTATATATACCGATGGAAAATTTTCACAAAATTGCGCTCCCATCAAACAAGTTTTTGCAACGGTCTTTTAGTACGAGATGTTGATACGCTCGCTTTTTGCGACAAAATTTCGTATTTCTTTTATTTATTCTAAGGCCTTAGTGAGCCTATTGGTCTAATTTTACATGTACCGAAATTACTTCTCCAGTCTTTCAAATACTCGTATTTTGAAGTAATCAAATCTACCATCGGATATATTTTGACTACCTGCTTTTGGACTACCTTTGGAAAGACACGATGTTTTGAATTGGATCTAAAATCTATTCAATTTGCATAGTGACTTAAACATATTAAGTAAATAGTAAGTAGCAAGCGGTAGTTTTAGTTTAAGGACATTAATCTGTAGACTGTTACTAGAAATGTTATAAAACAAAAGCAGAAATACGTAATTTGAGAAAAAAAATACCATTTTGATGAAAAATAATAATAGTAATATTTTGTTGACAACCCGATGTATCAAATTTGTATATTTTCGTTATTAAATATATACTTTACAACAATTTTTATTAACTTTTAGTCACCGGTTTCGACCAAAGGTCATCTTTGACAAATGGCTTGTATGAACTCTGTGGTAAAATAAAAAATTCATAGGTACATTATTTCATAGACAACATTTAATATAATTAAGATGATTGTTATTGTCTTTGTCCCATTTATCATCAAGTCGACAGAATTATAAAACGAAATCTCTTACATTTATTAACAGATATACAATAAAAGATGATTTATGGTCGTAATATGACCATGAGGATTGTACTTTAAACTATTTATGTTTTTTTCTCGTTAACAATGTGCAGTATTCACGGAAATTAAATATGTCGTTATAAAAATGATATCTATTGACCTGAACAGACGTTCCAAAATACTTAACGTAATTAAAGGCTACAGCTGTCAACAAATGCCCTGTAATCAGCACTATCTGTCTTATTCTAAGGCACTATCTGTCTTACTTTAAGTTTTATTATATTTTTAGAAATGACTGCTGATTACCAAAAATGAAATAAAAAAAAACCCTTACATAACTTTCTATAAATATATTTGTTACAGGCTTTCCGATTGCATTGTCTAAGCCCCACTACATCGACGTGGATCCAGTTCAGCAGACATATTTTGAAGGTCTAACACCTGACCCAAAGAAGTACCAGTCACAGCTTGACGTGGAACCGGTGAGTCAGAGGTCCTTTCTGCAAACGTCTTCTTCCCTGGTATTGCCAGTTTAGATGCCAGTCCCATATTATTTACAGGGCTGAGGTGAGGACTCGTGTGTGTTTTTTGGTAGAAAGTAAATTCAAAAAATATTAATCCTTCGAGTAGCAATAGTACAAATAGTTATATGCAGGATTTATGTAACACTAATCAATCCTTGATTCTTCCAAATACTGTTATTTTTAGTGATGGTATTGGGAAAGGTATGGGCACTCTCCTCAATAATCATTTAATAGGGAGTGTACTCACCAATAATCGCCTGCCAGGAGCTGCTTTACACCACTTAATAAATGCTGCTATGAAGGCAAAAGTAAATATGGAAATAACAATTATAATAATGTTTGGAAATAGCACAAACTTAAAAAAACAAGATATAGTTCATAGTTTCTCCTTACTGTCCACCCTAAAAGTAAAAAAAATAATTTGGTGTACGTTCCCTTACATTAACTCATCATCAGGAAAAATTAATGATAATATATATAAATTAAATCAATTATTGCATCACCTGACCTGCCGTCATAATAACATATTTAATCTATTTGACATGAATAAATTTATTAATCTTTTAATTTTGAATCAAGATACAGTGTATCTGCCAAATAAATGTAAGCACAAGATAGCTAGTTATTAGCATATAATATAAATAATGACAATCGAGTATTAAATAGACTGTCTATTAATACTGAAGCTCATACTTTTTTAGGGGGGGGGGGTGTCTCATCCTACATAGAAATACTTTGAAATTAAAAGAAAGAACTGATATTGTTGCATACTCTGTTGAACGACTATGTGAGATTGCATGTGCAGAGACAGAAGATTATTTATTAATGTGTGTTTATAGACCACCCTCATCTGATCTTATAAATTTTTTATTAATTATTGAAGACATCTTGATTAAAATATTTAAAATAAAAAAGCATATAGTCATTTGCGGTGATTTTAACATTGATTTACTGACAGATTCTCCAGATAAAGTGAGATTTCTGTCACTTCTTAAAACATTTAATCTTTACTGTGTCTTCGATGAACCAACAAGAGTAACCCCATCCTGTGCCTCTTGTATAGATAATATTTTAGTAAATTGTAAAATCGTAAACCAAGAAATATTGAGTGGTGTTGGATCTGACCATAAAGCCCTTAAAATAGACATCTATGTTAATAACAAAAATAATGTTATTATAAATGAGTGTAGGCTTGTAAATAAATTCTGAATTAAACAGTTTAGAGATGGCGTCAAACACAAGCTACCCTTATTAAAATTAACTAATAATGATCCCGATGACAATTTCAATGCCTTGTTTACTATGATTACTACAGAATTTAATAAAATTATGCCGAAAAGAAAAACTATAACTTCAGGCAATAAACTTTGCTTTAGTGAGTGGGCAACTAAGGGAATTAGAAAGAGCAGGGATAAACTATATGATCTACATGGTATTAAGTCATTATCTATTGATCCTAACTTCCATGAATATAATAATTTCTTGTATTTACGTGATTACACATTATAAATGAAACTAATTTTACGGAACGTCGGGAACTAAAATTAAAAATAAACGCGATAAATCCGTAAAATTAGTTTCATTCCATGAATATGTTAGGAATTATTCAAAATTTTTAAAAGGGTCTGTACTTTAGCTAAAGCAGACTATTTGAGTAATAAAATTAAATTGTCTTCAAATAAAGTTAAAAGTACATGGAATGTTATAAATAAAGAAACTGGCAAAAATAATGAAAAAAAGGCAGATTTTACATTAAAAGTTAATGGCAAAGTTTTAAAAGAAAAATATAAAGTAGCAAATGAGTTTCTTAATGTCTTCACAAATATACCTTGTGAAACTACTAGACATTTGCAACACTGTCCCACAGAGGCAGTAACATATCTCGATAAATATGTTAATATTTCTGTTCCAGATTTTAAATTTTGTCATATAGGCCCGAATGATATTATTAAAACATTTAAAAATCTAAATAAAAAGAAAACAGAAGACTTATGGGGCTTATCAATATGGGCAATTGATCTTATAATCTATGACATTGCTTGCATATTAGCCCAAATATTTAATACATGTTTAGACAGTAGCAAATTCCCAAAGTTAATGAAATATAGTAAAGTTGTGCCAGTATATAAATCGGGTTCGAGAGATGATGCCTCTAATTACCGTCCTATCTCTATGTTGCCGGCCTTAAGCAAAGAGTTTGAGAAAATAATGCTGAATCAAATGATAGTACATTTTAACAAATATAAAATTTTAAACCAGCACCAATTTGGATTTACTAAAGGTAGATCTACAACTGATGTAGGGATAGAATTAGTTTCACATATCCTGCAGTCCTGGGAAAGCTTTCATGACACCATTGGTGTGTTCTGTGACCTTTCCAAGGCATTTGACTGTGTAGATCATACAATTCTAATCAGGAAATTGGAATATTATGGTATTCGCAATTGTGCCATTGACTTTGTTTCCTCATATCTTATTTCCTTTTCTGTTTTTAGTTTATATTAATGATTTGCCATATATAGTGGAAAAAAGGTCTCAAATTGTTTTGTTTGCGGATGACACTTCATTATTGTTTAAGGTTAAAAGAAATGATGATGCACTGGAACAACCAAATGAAATACTAGATGTTGTGTCTGGCTGGTTTGCTACCAATAACTTACTTTTGAACTCCAATAAAACAAAATGTATTAGATTTACTCTTTCAAAGTTGTGTCACCAATCAGGAATCTCTATTGATGAGAAAATCCTACCCCTTGAGGATTCAACAGCATTTCTTGGAATAAGCGTTGATTCCAAGTTGCAATGGGGATTACATGTAGATAAGTTAGCTAAGAAATTGAGCGCTGTCGTCTTTGCCATACGCAAAATCAGGCAGCTAACGAGGAAACTGCAAAATTAGTTTATTATGCTTATTTTCACAGCATAATGTCCTATGGTGTCTTACTTTGGGGTTCCGCATCCGGTCTAGACACAATATTTGTATTACAAAAGCAGGCTATACGGGCCGTCTATGGCTTGGGTCCACGTGAGTCGCTACGACATACATTTAAGCAAATAAACGTTTTGACGCTCCCGTCGCTTTACATACTTGAGAACATCATGTATGTACGTAATAATATCCACCTATTTACGAAAAAACAATCCACATCGCGTCGGGGCCGTGGTGACACTCTGGAAGTACCGAGGCTTAGATTGGCTAAAACCAAAAAGTCGTTTCTTGGAAGATGCATCAACTTTTACAATAAAATAGGTGACATCCACAAACAACTAAGTATAAACAATTTCAAACAATTTGTAAAAGCTACCTTAATGGCAAGGGCCTACTATAATATCCAAGAATACATAGAGGACAAGGATGTTTGGAAATGACTCTTGCTCTGCACTTGCAAGACCCCTGGCTGCTGCTGATTTTATACCCAAATAAGTGTGTATAATTGCATCAAAAAAAAAAAAAAAAAAGAACAAGACCGCAGAGTTTCTTGCCGGTTCTTCTCTGTGCAGGTATAGTTTAGTGAACCGGTGGTAGATTTTTGTTGACGTTCAATAAGAGCTTAAGTTAGGCCTATATTGAATAAATATACTTTGACTTTGACTTGACTTTGACTTTGAAAGGATTTAATTGTAGGGTTTTTTAATTGTAGGATAATTAACTAACTGTAAACAAATATTCAAATACAGTGGTCAACAGCTACGTAGCATGGCACATAATCAATAGTCTAGTTTCCAAACATTCATTCTAATAATGTCATTTAGAAAAGCTTGCTTGCTGTAAAGGAAACGGATTAGATAAAGTTAAGCATTGCTAGAAATTCAATAAAAACAAAGTAGGTAAGACGTCGAGATTTTCGCTCGGTGAGGATGTCGACCGCTTAGCTTCGTGGCTAGAGTGTCCGGACGCGTAATCCGGCTGGTTCGAATCCTGGCAGTAGGCATTTTTAAGTTGCATGGTGTCTGGCAAACACATATTCACAAATTAATGTTGAATGTTTTGTTTTAAATGTCTGACGGCGCCCAAATTTATAATTTCCTTTGCCTGCAGAACGTGGGGGTACCGCTAGCTCTGTCAATCAACATCCAGGTGAACATTGCGGTGAGGACGTCACCAGGGAACCCCATCACCAAGCCAGTCAAGGACATGGTGTTACCCATACTCCGGCTATCATTGGTGAGTTGATAAACAATGGTCAATCTCATTGCCCCCTAAATTCATCATTATCGTCATTTCAGCCTGTTTGAGTCCACTGCTAAACATAGGCCTCCCCCACAGACCACCGCGAAGCACGATCCTGAGCCACCTGCATCCATTGACTTCCCGCACACTTGCGCAGGTCGACACTCAATCTAGTGGGTGTCGTTAAATACGATGTCCAATACACCCCCTAAATTGGTCACCACTAAAGAGTTATTTTCTTTCAACAAACAGCTTGACCCCTTTACTAATCAATGAATCACGTTTGGTGTCATGAGAACAGATTTACGATAACATGATATTTTTTGTAAGATTACATCCACAAAAGTAGAGATGACTCCTATTATGTACCGTGAAAGACATGATTAAATAACAAGAAAAATAAATTACATGCTAGAATCAAACCCATGACTGAGTCGTCAAAATCTCGGACAATTGATTCTTGCCCTTTAGATAACGGTGGTTCTCAAGTCATTTGACTTGAGAACCACCGCTGGTTTTAAACACCCAACTGACACAACGTATAACATAAATATAAAAGTATAGTCTAAACTTAAAGCTATATTAGGAAAAACCGAAACATATTCGAGCTATTGGAGTAAATTGGTTACAAAACGTTTAACGAGAAACTTCTATACTCAGAATCATATCCTACGACAAGGAATAGAAATTAAATTTATTTGCATAACAAACATAACCTTGTTCATAATAAGTAAAGCCTACACTTGCTCATTGTAAGAGTATTTATCTTCGATGAACTCATAACTAGATGTTTTTAACAACCAAACTGGTAGTTTTACACAACAAGTGTAAATCTTATGTTAATTAAATTGTCAAGTATCATGCATTTAGTAAAATTTACCTAAGTCATGCTTGAAACAGACATTTTTTTTAATTATGTGGAAGTAAATTAAATTAAATATCATTCATCACAAAAAAATATAATGAAACTAATAGAGAATGCTGTTTTAAAGTTATTTCCCTTTAAAATCAATAACACCACAGAAATATCCCCGCAATTATTTAATATTTTCAACGAATCGATGACATAAAAATTTGTATGATAACACGCCGTTATTATTCAAATAGCAGCAATAAATGTTAAAGGCTTTTTTAGAATATCACGCATATGTCATATCAGCGCTATTCACTTACAATTAATCACAAATAATCTTTTCTTATCCTTTTTAACAAGTTTATAAACATATAACAAAATTGGAAACTATATGTGATAACCTTAAGTTCAGCAAACTCCGACAAGGATATATTATGTTATTGTTTCCAACGATTTTTTTTCCTTTCAATCAAGAAATAATCGGTTAAATATTTCTCGCACTTTATTAACTAACCTATGAATCCACCTAACTCTGATTATTCTATAGGCTTCAACAATTTTTACACCTACTACTACTATTACTACTACTAAACAAATTCTTGTGTGACGAGAAAGATGATCTCAGTGTACTTTATCACTAAAATTTAAATTTATACAGCGTGTCGTTACCATCGCCACAATAAACGAACACACGTCTAACGCTACTTGCCAATACTAATAAAAAATATTAACGTTAAAGAAAATCCGTAATTAAAAAAAAATATTTTTCAAACAAACTAATTAAGTAAAAAAGAAACAAAATTTGTAACATCCTATACAACTCGCACCACAGCGTCGCATTACAAACCTCTCCTTCTAACAGTATGTTTTGTCGCTTTTAAATTCATTCAACCCATTCATATGCTTTGTAACCTTTACAAATGAACTTTACGTTACAGTTTTTTTTATACGTAAGGATGTTCTAAAATTGTTTGTTTTGGAAAAATTTAATAACTCGGTAAATATTGATGTTTAAAGAATGTAAATGTTTAATACAATTTTAAAAATTTATCATCTATATGTGTGTTCATTTATTGTCGCGGTGGTAGCGACACGCTGTATATTGATATTTTTATATATATAAAGACATTGCGTGTTGCGTTTAGCGCTTTAAACACGCGCTTTTCTCACTCACCCCAATGTAAAGGCATGTATTTTTGGTTCTACTCGTACGTTCAATAAACTCTTCTACTTCTAAATCCAATACTTATTGTTTCAGTATTGCAAAGAGGCGCCTCCAGAAGTGATGCAGCTACTTCGGCTGCGATTTGTCATCGCACCACCTTTGGTCATTACTATAGAAGTTCTTCTCTTCCTTATTGGGGCGTTCTTCGCGGTCCAGGGCTCGTACAGGATCTGGAAACCGAGGTACAAGCTGATCCAGCAAAAGGAACAACCCAAAGTGAGGAGGAAGAGTAGCGAAAGGAGACGGAGCAGCGTGATCCTGAACATGGCTGATAACTGTGCGTTCAAAGATGACGACGAGCTGGCCAAAGAAGCCGTCTCACTTCTAGCAATCACCGAAGAAGACGGCGATCTACCCGATCTTTTGGTGGACTCGTGAGATGAAGTGACTTACAATAACTAGCGAAGATAAGTGTTCCTTTTTCAAAAATTTGAGCGAGAGGATTCTATTCAAAGGATATACTACTGTTGACGAAATCAATGTAACTATAATGATGGTCGAACCGTTGCGATTCCCAGATGAAATGTTCTGTTTTTTTTTTTTTTAATATCTTCTTGATGAGGCTCTATTTAGTCGAAAAGATTCCTATCTATTTTTTCCTAATACACGTGTAACCAAGTTTTATCGTAAGTTTCAGTGACCTGTTAACATTTTGTGGTTTTCTTTTACAACACGACAATAGCTTTCAAGGAGACAATTTCGCATGGCTCTCAAATATCACCCAAGTCCTGCACACACTTTGCATTGATCATTTGTGTACTTACGGAGTACATTAAAATAATTATTTGCTCAATTAGTTTTATAAGTTAATTTTATTTAAAAGATCTTGAATATTGACCTACACTGGATATTTTTCAATTTAAAATCAATTGGAATTATTTATACAGGGTTTAATCAACTCTAGGGAAATATTGGAATCCGAGTATTTTGTACGATGATTAATCTCAGTGTCGATTAGTTAACCTTTGCTACTTTGTATTATGTCTACGCCTTATATCGCATCAATATGATCAATATCATACCACGTGTTGAGATTATTTAATTACAACACGTGAGGTTTTTCTTATCATTTATATACAATCCTTTATACAGTTTCAATAATGTTGTTGATACATATGCATGATTATTTAAATCATGTTTTTTAAAACTTGAAATGTTACTTACTTAATACTTCTTGTTTCCTTTGAATGTCAGATGGATTCATGAATCTCACAATCTTTAAGTGTTTAACATATTTATTTTTAACATATTATGTTATTTATTTCTTGTTTAATCAGTAGTACTCGATTAAATCTTTTTTCTTAAAAGAATTATAAATTTTTAATATATCGTTTGATGTTAAAAAATTATCAATAACAAGACAATGTCTAATGTAATTCATTAGTTGCAAACAGGTGTTTGTAAAATTTCGAAGCACCATATATACCCTTAAGGGTTGAGGTTACTATTAAGTAACATTATTTTAAGATATTGCTCTTAGAAATTGTGATATTATTGTTAAATTGATTAGTGTTTAAGTTGTTATTAATTTGTAAATATTATTTTGTAAATAGACTGAGGGTGAGTGAATAAATATTTTATAACAATTTTACTTGAGTGTTTTTATTTTAATTAAAGCGTTTAATATGGAAGTTGTTAAATAACCATTTCTTAGCTATTATGGTATGAAACTATTTTAAAGGCTTTTATTACATTTTAATTTTGTTAATGATCTTATGACCGTGAATGTAGAAAAGTAACACAAACACCGAAACGGAAGATCTAAATCGAACGCAATGTCATCCGTACAAATCGTTTTATTGAATACTAGCGACCCGCCCAGGCTTCGCACGGGTACAATGTATTATACATATAAACCTTCCTCTTGAATCAGTTCTATCTAGTAAAAAAACTGCATCTAGATTCGTTGCGTAGTTTTAAAGATCTAAGCATACATAGGGACAGACAGACATCGGGACGACTTTGTTTTATACTATGTAGTGACTGTACAGTTACAGTGTCCGCGGGAATACAAGATCGTTCGTTACATATGTTATGTTACTTGACAATTTTTTAAAAGATACAAAAAAAATCACGAAATTTTTATAGATTTATAAGTGATCATGTATTTAAAAGATCCATATTAATTGTATATTTTCATGTTACATCATTTCCTTAGCCTAATGAGAAACCGCTGCCCTTGTTGCTGACCTATACACACCCTCATGCCACAAGAAGGCCTCCGAGGAATCGAACCTCTTTAGATCCAAGCTGTTAATGCGCATTGAGAGGATTGGGGTTTCCTTGAATGAATCACTTTTAGGGTCCCGTACCTTAAAAGGTAAAAAGGAAACCATATAAAACCACTCTCTTGTCCGTCTGCCTTTCCCGACTCGGTGGTGACACACTCACCACCGATTTTCTCAACGACATAAACCTCAGTATCTGGTATAAAATGCTAGGTCCACCCATTCCAGAGAAAATCGGTGATGAATATTTATCAATTTTATTATGGCGGTATAATGAGTAGGTATGTGGTACGGAACCCCGGGCGTACGAGTTTGACTCGCACTTGACCGGTTTTTTTTATTTCGTTTGACATCCACAAGTCGAGTGAGCCAGATCCTTCCCATTGTTGAGGATGTATGTTTAAGAGTTAGCACTGGTTTAAACGCGCCTGTCGGCAAGGCACTTCTACTTTTGTCTCCATATCTCGGAAGACAGCTTTAGTGTAAACGATCACTAAGAAAGGTGTACGCTCAAATCCATCCACCTGAAGGGTTATTGAATGAATATTTATTTAGCTTCAACAACAAACACAGTTATGTTAACAATTAAAAGAATATATATCTAAGACATGAAACCAAACAGGTATGTACTCGGTACGATTTCCCGATTTTCAGTACATACCAAAAATTTTAATTATAAATAACAAACTAGACTAAAATAACACAAAGCGGGTACATTAATTTAAGGACAATAACACAACACCTACTGATTATAACACAAATCTGGTACATTATTCTAAAGACAGTAACACAATAACGACTAATGAAAATTAACATTTATAAGTAAAAAAAAGAAAACTGTTTCCAAAAACAAAAACAAATATTGCCACCACCATCTTGTTCTCCTAAATAATGGAGTCCATTATTAACTGTCATTTCCTTAGGTACCTTGAGGAGCACCAGCGGATTAGTTATCGTCAGCATCGTTTCTGTCGGTGTCTCTCAGATGGTGATCTTCTGGTGTACCTAACTCATCGAACTCATCAATGTCAGAACCGGCGAGTGAAACTCAGCGGAACAGTTTTTTTAAAATATTTTTACAATGTGTTAAATTCCAAGTGATACCAATTATTCTTACCTTGTTATAGGTTTAATGTTGAATATTCGGATATTCAACATTATATTTCTTCTTCTTCTTAATCGGACACTCTTGGCTCTCGTCGTCACTGTTCGCTTCCAAGGCAGCCGCACGGCTTGCGATGTATCTCCATTGGAGGCGGCTGTTAGCAATTACGAGCACATTGTACTGCGGTGGCTTTCGTAGTGCTGGTGATGAGGTCAATCCAGCGCGTGGGGGCTCGACCTCGAGGTCTTTTGCCTTATACACGGCCTTGAATGACAAGTCTCCATAGAATCTTCCTTTCTAGAGATGCGCCCAAACATTATACTATAATAGTGTTATAAGGTCAATAACATGCCTTATAAAACAAAGACGAAATACGGGGATTATATATATGTTATAATCATTAACAAAATTAAATCGTTCTTTTATGCAGGGCCAGATTTAGAGGTCTGGAGGCCTCGGGACAACAAAGGAGTGGAGGCCCCTTGGCTCCAAATTATTTTCTATTGATTTGTGTTAATATTTAATATGTAGGTAAAAGTAAAATGAGAAAAGAAATATGGTAGGAAAGGAAACTTTTATTTCCGAAGTCTCTACTGTGGGGGCCCCTCGTTTGTGGAGGTCACGGGGCAGTTGCCCCGTTGCCCACCCCTAAATCTGGCCCTGCTTTTATGGATTGCTCCCTTTTCATTTTAAATTAGATCCCATTTTAAGCTTCAATAGCTTTGATGACTCCGTGGCGCAGTTGCCAAGGTATTGGCTTCGGCGTCGGGGGTCGTGGGTTCGATCCCCACACGGACCAACTATTTGTGTGACCCACAGATAGATGTTTCACATCTGGGTGTTTGTCCACGTGAAATTTATGTTTGTAAAACGTCCTTACAACACAGGATAATGTTATCCTAAAGTGAGGGCAATGATTTAAAAAAAAAGCGTCAGTGGTGCGCTCCCTTTTCATATATTTTGTAACAGTTTAAATAAAAAATCGTAGCTATAATGATATCGATATCTTTATTTATATCTCACGTCGAAATTTACCTATGATACATTTAAGACTAATCGACTAGGTAAACCAACCTAAATTTATAATAATAATTTGAATAAATTACAGGAATCACATATTAATAATAAAGTAATAGCTTTTACAACTATCCGGTACGGTTGCCATAAGCCATTTTTGCGGAATTGAGGCAGTGCGGATATACACAAGTCTGAGTAGTTTAACATACAATGACATTATAACTAAGTTAAAGATTAGAAACTGTAATGATGTCAAAATAACAATGCTACTGGCACTTCATGAGGGTGACAAAATCGACAATCACCGCTCAACTAACTTTTACACTTATAATCAATGAAAAAAGACGTTAAAAACGATTTTGTGTTTTTTTTTTAATATATTCGCAAAAAAGTATATCTGTTTAAACATTCAGTTAGTTGTTTTTATGTAAAATTTTGCACGAATGGATTAAAATATCGGAAATATTTAATCCATTCGTTGTTTCGTTTGAACAGTAATTAAAAAATTTCAAAACATAAAACACAACGCATTTGCAAATACGCTGGTTTTCATCAGAAAGGGGCTTGATTAGAATTAACGATCGATGGTCGGAAATTTTAATAATTGTCTTTTTATGTTTTCAACACATAGTAATAATATTCAATTTGTGTTCATTAAAAAAATCGCTTAAATCTGGTTGACAAAGTATGCCAAACGTATCACCACACACTCAAGTCTGCCTCGTCACGGACCAAACCGCGGTGATATCAAACCGGCAGACGACGGCACTAAGATCGCACTCGGAGAAGACTCGCTCTGCGACACCGAGAAATATAGTTGGTAATGGTCGCTACGAAGAATCCGATTGGCGAAGACTAAAGCACTGAGACGAGCTCTATGACTCCGAGAAATATAGTTGACGATGGTCGCTACGAAGAATCCCATTGGTGAGGACCAAAGCACTGAAAGCAGCTCTATGACTCCGAGAAATACAGTTGACAATGGTCGCTACGTAGAATCCCATTGGTGGTGACCAAAGCACTGAAAGAAGCTCTGTGACTCCGAGAAATATAGTTGACAATGGTCGCTACGTAGAATCCGATTGGTGATGACCAAAGCACTGGAAGTAGCTCTATGACTCCGAGAAATATAGTTGACGATGGTCGCTACGAAGAATCCGATTGGTGACCAAAGCACTAAAAGAAGCACTATCCGGCGTATATGTGCGCGTATATCCAGGCGGTGTAGTGAGCCACGTTGGTGTAGACGTCAGGCACGCCGCGCCGGGCGCAGCCCGACCCGAATGACGTCAGACCGCGGAGCTCCCAGCGGCCGCCCACGCGGCCCCCGGCGCCCCCGGAACCACCCGACCGACACTGGAGCGGACCGCCGCTGTCGCCCTGCGTCACAGAGTTCCAACTGAAGGCGTACAATCGTTACTGTGTCTGTTTTTTTTAATGTGAGAAATTGGCAAACGGACAGGCGGTTCACCTGATGTGAAGTGATGAACGCCGACCGGACTTTAAAACGGGACTTTTGCGACACCCGTAGGGTTGCAATGCGTTGCCACCTTTGAATAAAGTGGGCACTGGCTCAAAACACGAAACGGCCATTTATTTGGGAGGTTGCTGTATTTTTAAAATCAGTCATAGAGAACTGGTCAACTGAGAAGTTGAGTAGATACTAACCACGCAGGCGCCCGTGCTCCCATCGGTGCTGCCGGCGCAGAGGTGGCCGGCGCCCAGCGGCAGAGGCAGCGCGTAGCGCTCCCGGCACGCGGCCAGTGGCAGAAGCGGCACCTCCGCTTCCAGCAGCACATCCGTCAAGGAGCCGTTGGTCTGCTGGCGGCCCCAGCCCGTCGCGTAGCACTCGTCACGCGTCTCCAACCCGTTCTCCTCCACGTACGGCTCTATCTCCTCTCCGAACATTAGCTTTCTCTCTTCTCTACTCTCGCTCTGACCCTCTCCTTTATCTTCGCCTGCCCCGTCCGACCTCTCCTCACCTCTGGCCTCATCATTGTCAGGTCCATTCTTAGTTTTTATCAGCCTCACGACGCTGTCTAAAGTTATTCTATCATAAACCACATCCCTATTCTTCTCGTCATCGGCTCTCAAGTCGTCGTCGGTCCTCTTTTCTGAATAACCACTAGAGTCTTCGGATACCCGAATGTTGTATCGCAAATTCTTGTGTTTCTTATTCGAATAACTCGGGAATGTCGATTTGGTCAGGTTGTTTAGTTTCTCCAAATATTTGGAAGTCGTGTCAGGATTGGGTTTGGGACGCTTCGCTGATTTCTTTCTCGCGATTTCCGAGTTGGGCCTGACGTAGAACGACGTGCCTTTTTCGGGTTCGTAGTTGGCGAGAGGCGATTCGTACGATGGCAAGCAAATCGTGCGGATTCTACTGCCAGCGCTGACGTCAGCAGCTCTCGTCATTTTCATCAAGGCTGAAAACAAATACGATTTTTTTAAACGCTGGAAACGTTACTACCACCACGCCCTCCAATTATAATCGTATTAATAATATACTTAATAGAACTGAATGAATTTTCTGAGTAAATTTGACTTAAAAGAAATCTAATTTCTAAATTAATGATGCGTCAGTGCCATTTGCGGAATATTGGTAATGATTTTACAGCCCATTTTAAACATCAAAAGAAACCTATTCACACTTATCAATTAAGTTTTAAACACGATAAAGTTACCAGATAAGATAAATGTTGCTTGGATGACATTTGAATAAAAAAAAAGTCGCATCGATAAATGTTTGAAAAATTTCAGTGTAAAGTATGATTTATGGTTCAAAGTGAATGATAAATGATAAAGGCGATTATTGCAATATTTTAAAGTGTTTCCAAAATAGATTTTAAATTTTATGATCAAAACTTTGCTGATTCTCACTCAAACTAATCTCTCTTTGAGTCTTCTTACAGTCGTTTCCAATATTCTATCTATCTGTAGAATTGATTACTAGCGATAGTTACTTGACTTTTTTTTTATTTTATGTGAAAAGTTGCCAAACGAGCAGACGGTTCACCTGATGTTAAGTGAATACCGCCGCCCATACACAACTGCTACACCCAAGGGTTTTTTTGACAACCTTTTTGGAAATTGGGCTCCGGCTACCTCACACGCCAGACGAAACGCCAAAGTATTCGTCACACTTCCACTTTACGCCGGTCTTCTGTGAGGTCGTGGTACTTACCCGGACGAGCCTGCCCATTCGTGCAACAGCCGAGGCTGCTGCGTGGCTCTACCATCGTGAAAACTAGCTCCATAATATTTACGTCAAAATTCTATCTTTAGTATCTAAATCTACTATTATCTAAATCTAATATTGAAACCGGCCGTTAGAGAACATAAATGGAGAAAAACAATTGCAGCACAAAGAACACAGACCTATATCATGCTGGTAGTTGTGGAAGCGATGGTGCAGGATGACCTTCTCGATGGGGACGTAGGAGCCTTTTTGCTCTGCACGATCCCACTCGCCAAGGACGGCGGTCCACAGCGCAGCCACTGGCAAGTTGAACAGCTCACTGAAATGACCAAAATTCTTAGTAACATAAATCTTGAAAAGGTGACACCGACTTTGAACTTTGACTTTGGTGAAGTCTATCACTCTATCGTATTAAATGGTTATAACGATACGTTATCTAAGAAGTTATGGAAAAAGAGAAGAAATAAAAGAGAGAAAGAGTTGAAAATATCTATTTCCAATAACGTTAATCCTCTGAGCCTTAGCACTTTAGAGTCTAAAGAGTTAATGCTCACTCTAAAGTATAGAGGAAGATTTTTTTTTTATAAAAAGTAGGCAAGCGAACAGATGGTACTCCTGGTGTTAATTGATTACCGCCGCTGAACGTCTACAATAGCTAGCAGATTACAGCGTTGCCGAATTTTAAAAAGGTGTGTCCTTGACACCAGACGAAAAGCGAAAGTATAATAAGTACACAAACTTCACGTCGACTGTTTTCCTTCGCTGGACGAGCCTACCCATTTTTGCAATAGCGGAACATCATCTTTACTTGTGTATGCAGTGTGCAGTCGTCAGAAGCCACAGTGGATGAATGAGGACTCCACCGCACCAGTGCCCGATGAGACCATAGTTGGGATGGAGCAACTGTAAGGACACCTGGAGAAGAGTGCATACATTTTCACGTTAACAAGAATATGTTTATGTATTTAAAAAATATAGCAACAAATCATTAATGGCTCACGAAAGGTGACTTTTGAAAGATTTAGAAGATGATATTGTGAAAGCGTAAAGTAAGTTAGCAATGATAAAAGAAGCAAATGAGAATTTTCTTGTGTAGCGCTACGTAACAGTTATTGCCGTTGTAAGACCTCAAGTGGAAGCATACTGTATCGTTATGTGAGTGAAACATGCGATTTATGTTATTAACGACCAGTGGATCTGTAGTCGGCTGGGATCGAACTTGGGACCACTGACGTACCTGCCACGGCCAGGCGCCCCGTTTGGACTCCCTGCCGCGAATGATTCTCAGCTGACCAGCGGAACGCTCCCGGGGCTGCCTCGTATGCCGTCTCAGGGATATACCGCACTCTGAAACAATTCGGGACTATATTAAGGACACGTAAAGACAATCATGGCCTAGTATCCGTAATTGGCTTACGATCTACATCCTGAGTTGTAATCTAATGGCATGTACCAGTACGGCGTTCCGAATTTTCGATATTTTCTCATGCATGCATAAATTGTTCTCATTCCAGAGCTCTTAACTCGGCATTGTCATGTTTTAAACTAAATTCGGCGAAATGATGGCATCAGTTATCTTTCTTTACCCCTTGAGGGAAATACGTGATAGCTTCGTACCTAGAGGTCATGTGCGCCAACTTGTTGTGTATTTATCAAACAAGTTTGTCAAGCTAAATTTTTAGTAATTAAGAAGCATATTTAAAAAACTTAAAAAACAATAAAAAGCAAATGTATTCAAAGCGTCGTGAATTTAAGTTCAAATAAACGCGATACGAATTGTGTCAGATTTACAAAACGACAGAACCTTTGGTTAGTTATGCGCAATTTCATCACTGCGCAGATAGTTTGGCGATCCATTACCACACTAAAAATTTGCATTTCTATATCTTTATGGCCATTTCGCGTAGACAAAAGCTTTTGTAGCACTTTCAACACTCAATGAATTCTCCCGCAGGTATAATTCATCGAAAAGCTCAAAAGCCCCACTCTCTCTGTTTAATCTAACATAACCAAAAATTAAAAATGTTTTTAATTTTAACCACGGACATAGAATTAAGCTACTATAATATATTCATTTTCCCGTCACCGAAAGATTAAAATTAAATGATTTAGGTACAACATAATTTAAATAACGATGTTATTAACATATAAAGCATATCATATATTTAAATGTGGAAATATAGTCCCGATAAATTAATATCATACGATTGTATTGACAGATATTTTAATTGCATAATAAATATGGAGTATATAGCCTTAATAAGCTAAAAATAAAGTATAAACATATATGCGTGTAGTAAAAATATGAATAAGCCTTTGGGCGTCCATACGGTCAGTGCTCGTCTGAACATACGGTATTCACGTGAGTGACCTACGCTGTGAATACTGCGTTACTAAGCTCAAAACAGTTTTTTTTTACAATATAAAAATTAGCAATAAACATTGATGGTATGATTGGCAATGATATTCTACCTTTGAGCTTTTAAAGTACTAAAGAAAACTAGTTATTTGTTTGAGGTAAGATGCCGCGCGGCCGTATACTTTTTTACCATCCATTTTATTTTTCAATGACTGTCTGACTGAATTCTGACCGCGATATGCATGTCGAGAAGGGGTGATGTATCATAGGTAGTAAAAAAAAACAATATAACTTTATTTCAAGATATAATATTTAAAAATGGCTAGGTAAACAGCGTCAAAACAGTCGCTGCGGCCTAAACCACTATACGCAAGCAATAAAAAAATATAAAGTTGTATGTAATAATTTTTTGCCGTAAAAAATAACTGAGATTTTACTAAAGCTCTTCTCAGCACACGAAAAGATGATTATGATGATTATTTCGTAAAAAAATATTCAAAAGATTCCGTCATAATTTCTGGTGTGGAATAATTTTTTAAAGTCAGTATTTTCTTTGCACTGTATAGATCATTGGATTTATAACATTTACATTTAATGAAAACTCATTAAATAATATAGCATAAGAGAAACGATATACGTGAACGTTCTTACGTGCAAAATGTTTAATCGTGTTTCTTTGCAAAAAAGACTTTTCTTTAAACAACTTCCTCTTCCTTATGTCCACTAACCACCTGTTTACGCTCATCGCAGACGGCTCATTTGAATGTTCTATACTCGATTCCGTTTTTACTTTCTATTGAGTTGATTTATCGCGATTTAATATGGTAAACAGCCGCGAAACGGTTGTAAATTGTCGATTCTACGGGGCGTTGTAGGTACCATTGGAGTTATCGTGCCGTAAATATCAATATTATACTGTGAGGTGTTTGTTTTTATTCGAGGAAAGTCATAATTCACGACGCCTTAAGAAAGTACAGTTAAAGATAAAAAGACAAATACGATTCATAAGCCGATGTAATATAAATTTAATCTCGACAAATAGGTTCTAGTGTCTAATGTTGTATCTGTCGTGATTAGGTTTTTTAGAAATTATTTTTTTTTGTACTGCTAATATCTGCACTTAATATTAAACATTAAAATTTGTAGAATAAGTACGAAAAGATTGTCGCCGCTGTGCGCTGTGGGAATCGAACCCACGTCTTCGGCATTCATGGCCTGACACGTTAGCCACTGAGCTAAACGGTTGATTGACACACCGACGAAAATCTTAACGTCTTTTATCTACATTGTTTTTTATCATTTGAAGCAATGATTGGCGCATCCATTGTTATATCCTTTCCAGCATAAAACAATTTCGAGTATCGTTTTACAGCGATAATTCTAAAATGAGATGTCGCCATTGCTTTTAGAAATTTAATGCTTTGCTATATATTTTTAAATATTAAAAAAAAAATTTTCGATGACATGTGATGTCCGCCACTCCGTAGTGGGGTCGCGTGGTGTACTATGCCCTAATACCCTCCTATACCGAGGAAGCCATTGCCCAGCAGTGAACATATCCTGTATATGTCCTGTGTATGTTACTTTAATTTTACTTTTTTTTCGATACAATGTACTCACGATTCACTTAAATGAGTGTAAGAATGAATTAAAAATAAACGCTTTTATAGTGTTTCGTTGCATAATCTACGAAAGCGCGAGCGCTTTCCCATTTTGTTGTATAATTTATACGAAATTCGCAATGTCCTTCCCCGGTAGTTGGTAAATGTAACGTGTACAAATGACACCACTAGAGCAAACTGATATTACAGTTTGTTGTTTTCGCTTTCTATGAAATGTATTTGCGGATAATACGAACCTGTAAACTTCGGACGCTGTATTTCATGAAATAAAATATTGTTTAAATAAACATTTTTACGACCGCCATTCTAAATTTATCCCAATTTTTAATATTAACAATACCAAAACGTAAAACGGCGGACACTGTGTTTCATTCTAAAAATTTTAAGAATCCAACAGAAAAACTAAGTCTATTTTTAAGTAGACAGGACAAAATTTCCAAATGTATGACAGACTTCTAAAGAACTAAACTTAAATATGCATATTATAAGCTAACAAGTAATCGTTGTCATTTCAGGTTATTGCTGTTTTAATAATATTGTAATAAGTAACGTTAAATCAATAGAAAAGAACATATTTTTGTTTTAAATACAATTCAGTACCCGTTCAAAAAACGTAGAGAAAGACAGGTTAAGCGCGATCATTCTAATTGGAATTTTACACTGGCAGAAATCACATGTCATTTATATATGTACGGGGTACGGTCTAAACACTACTTGTCACATTTCTGTCAATGTGACAAGTACTTAATTTTGTTAATTAAGACTATTTAATTACTTAAAACTAGCCTTAATGCCTGTTAGTAAAGCATTACTAGACGCTGTTCACGCAGTTGGAATCAAAGCTTGATTAAATTGTGAAAATATACGGTGTGAAATTTACTTTTTTATAATTGCGACAAGTCCCAACTTTACGCGGTGGCCGTTCGAGCGAGCGGGCCGTCGACGCATGAATTATTTACAAGTTCTCGGCCGCGTCTCGTAACGCGTTATGACATCGGCGGCCGTTCCTGTTCGCGGAAGTGTTACGGCCTCTAAAGACATCGCTTAAGTAATACAGTTAACATTTAATGTATGCACGACCTGGTTGTCGAATGGAAATTATGCCTCTGTAGCGCACTTGCTAAGCTATTGGCTGCGATACCGGGATCGTGGATTCAAACTCGAGGCAAGTATTTGTGTGCCCCCGATTAATTGTCCGCATCTAATTCTACCCACAAGCTTAGAATAAATAAATCACTACATAGTATAAAACAAAGTCATCGCTGTCTGTCTGACCCTATGTATGCTTAGATCTTTAAAACTAAGCAACGGATCTCGTTGTGGTTTTTTTTAGTAGATAGATTGATTCAAGAGGATGGTTTATATATAAGAGTTCTAACTATTTTACCTTGATTCTTAATATTTTAACTATTACTGAACGTGAATATTAACAACTATTATAACGACAAGCAGCACTAGTGGTTATATAATCGTCTGGGAACGCGGCCGAAATCCAAGTGACCGCTGCTTCATGCGACCATGTGTCCCTTGGCTCGAGTAGATAACGTCATATCCGGTATACAGTGTTGCCAGCGCCAACATATATGTATAATACATTGTACCCCTGCGAAGCTGGGGCGGGTGGCCAGTCGTTTATATTTTTTTCGAGACTGAAGTATGTAATATTGTCCTCCCAAATCCAACATCGGATTCTGCCAGGATACTTTATAGGATTGTTAACTTAGGAATAAGATGCAGATGTAGTTCAAATTAATCTATGTAAATCCTTTTTTGTTTTTGTTTTTTTGTAATCTTGTTGACACAATGAGGGTGAAAAAATAACCCCATTTTAAAAATAAATAGAAAAGAAAAAGTTAATCGTTTATGGGATTAATGTATACGTTTCTAGCTACAACAAATTCCACGTTAAAAATGTATCAGTTGCTAAATTAAAAAAAAATTATAAAGGAACATTTGTGTTAAAGGTTATTATAATATATGACCAATATTCAAATGATAACATACCCCGGAAATGAATGAATCGCTCCAGGCTCTTTTAAGTGGACTATAATATATTGCATTCATATTTCACTGTCAAATAACGGTGATAAAATAATTATCCAGCTTTTCGCTGTTTCTCTCGCTGGTTCTTCTCAGTTAAGTGTCTTTTCATTTTCGAACCAGTAGTAGTATTTTGACTATCAATAAGTGAGTGTAATGCATCTATATTGAATAAATATATTTCAATTTGTGTACACATGTGACACACGGCAGAAGGATAATGATTGACGGAGTATAACTGCGCAGTGAACTATAACAAGTAATTATACTTGTTATAGTTCAACAAAAAAAACCGACTTCAAACATTGTTGATAACTATAACATTT